GTTAACAAAAGAAAAAAAGCAAAGCATTTTTTACATAACAGATGTTTAAACATTTATCTTTATTTTAAAATATCTTTATAAATCCATTTTGACCATTTTTATTTTTAACCTATACTGTTTTTAATCACAAATTTAATTCATGTGATTTTTATGTAATGTGTGTATTCATAAATTGTTACAATTATTCTTGTTAAAAAACTATGCTAAATAACATTGTAATAATCTGTTCAGAAATTACATGTTACAAGACAATATTTTGCTTTTAATATGTTTATAAAAGATTTAAAGTAAAAATACATTATTTAATTTCACATTTTTAAGAAATATATTTACTTTAACATGAACATTATTAGTTCAGGTTTCACATAAATTCTCATGACACTATTTAAAATTGTATTTCTACCATATTTTCATTCCATTGACCAAGTTCTGATATAGTTAAATCTTTTATCCTCCCTAAATTTATCATTAAGACCCTGACATTCAGATGACAAGTGATTTGCAGTGTGGTTTGTTTTTCATTGCCAATCACCAGGAGATTGAAAAAGATACCCATGCACTTCTCCATAAACACTTCTCTATAAATGCTACACTTTGTAGAGATGCTACCAGTAATGAGGCTGTGGCATTTTTTATTTTGTTTCTGAGAGTACCTCTTCTCTCTCACACCAACTGGATACTAAAGTACTAATGTAGCAATTAACATGCCCTGGTAAATAATTTTGAACATTTTCTAACTTCGAAAGAGGTTAGCATCCCCGTTCCCAGCAAAACTAATTTTTAAGTCACACCTTATATGCCGTGTAATAATCCAATATACTTTAAATGAAGTTGAACATGATTATAAATTTATATTCATTTTAGGAATTAGTTACGATACATGCTCAGCCTTGCAGTCTTCTGAAAATGAGTTCAGGAGAACCTGAAAAACCTCATAATAAATGTGCTGACCCAAATCTGTTCTTGAAAAAACAAATTATTGAAACACCTGAGGCATGGTGCTATTGAATTAATATTAGGTTCCAATATTATCATTTTCTGTATTTTATTAAACAAACTTTCAGAAATTATTAGAGTCTTTATAAATATTTCCAATTATTATTTTTACAGATTTGAATAATGATTTAAAGCTAAATATTTTTCTTTTTCTTTATGGACCTGGTTCTGTCTGGTTTTGTTTGATTACAAGAAAAAAAAAGTTATTTGTCTGATTCTTGGGAAAGTCACAAACAGCAATTGCCTATAGAGTGAGGTTGGAAGTGAAATCCATATGTAATGCCTCTGTCAGCAAAGACTTAGTAGAGAAGGGTTTATAATAAATATTCACATCTGCTGCTTTGGACACTCTAATCCATCCTAAGGATCTTTGCTGTGTCAGGCTTTGTTCTATATGAAGAAGCCCAGTAGTTATAAAGGTTTGCAAATAGGCTGTATTTATCATGGTTAGCTTTACTTTTATAACTTTTCTCTGTTTTAGAAGTATTCATGATGATTGGGGGTAAGATTTGTGATTAAATATTTCACTGTAGCTTTTATGGTGATATCATTCTAGAATTCTTATTATAAAATGGGCCAATGCTGTTTTCACAATATATCACTTACCTAAATCTGTCAAGGCGGCATCATTGATAACAATGCTATGCTGGCTGTGGAAAACATAATGGCTAAAAGCCCAGGCTCTGGACTCAAAGTGCTGTGATTAAATGCTAGCTCCTCCTATACCTAGGGTGTCATTGTGAGCAAGTTACTTCACTTTTCCAAGCCTCTATTTCTTCACCTACATAGAGGAGTTAATACTATTTTCTTTATCATTAGATTATTGTAAGGATCATACAGAATTATCCATATCAAGCACTAAATATGGTATCTATCACATTAAAAGAGTTTGATAAATTTTAAATGTTATTACTGGAACAATAATATGCCTTCTAAGTATGACTAAATAATCCCATGGATAGTAGTAATGTCATACTTATTTACACTAAGTACTGAGCTTATGTAAACATAGCCTGTTGTTTTACTTACCTCCAAGTCCCATGATAGTTTGTTACTGGACTTCCTTAATAAAAATATTAATTAAAATTGGATCCCTGATTTGTTTTCACTCTGAGGAAATAAGCCACTAAAAATATATGGTACAAAAATTATGCAAATACCCTGTGCTGTATTTAGCCATCTTATGTAACAAAAATTTATCAAAAGTTGAATTCTAAGCTAAAGTAAAAACTCCCAAGTCATTTTGAAATGGAAATATTTATTTCCACTTCAGCTTCAAAAAAAAAATTTGTTGAGTGCATGAGTATCACAATTTTTAAAGCAGGAATGTATATTGAGTTGTAAGTAATGATTAACATAATTATTATAAATAAGTTTAAAGAAGAATACAAATTTTAAAATACAAATTATCCATACATAGATATGTTTTTCCATAAATTTTGAAAGTTATGTCCTTTAAAACTTTTTAACATATAATTTGAAAAAGAAAGTTGCCCTGCATAGTTGCTTTCAATCTCATCTCCTCAAAATGCTTTATTAATCACAAATATAAAAGAATAGTAGGACATTTGATGAAATCTGCATATAAAGGATGTAGACAATTAGGCTCTGTCCCAATTTGAAAATTTCGTAATCTAATTATTGATGTGTCTTAATTTTGACTCAACTTATTTCTTATACCTACAGGAGCTACTTCATATTTAATAACTGACCCCTAACACAGAATAATTGAAAAAAATAGAATGCTTCGTTGCTTATAAACTGTGAACACTTGAAATAAAACTTTGATTCATTCTCTCTCCTCTGTCTCCCTCAGGTCGAGTTTTAGCTCAGGCAAGTGGCAATGGTGTTATTCATTTGCTAGATCTTAAATCTGGGGAGATTCACAAATTGATGGGCCACGAAAGCGAGGCACACACGGTTGTGTTTTCTCACGACGGGGAGATTCTGTTTTCTGGAGGCTCTGACGGCACAGTTCGAACGTGGTCTTGACTGTCAGCACATCCCGCTGCAGAGGGCATTCCCTTTAAGGCTTGAAAATGCTTCCTGTAGTCCCAAACCAGCAAATAACTGGTTAAATGTGCCAGCAGGTAACATTTACAGTCTGCTTTAAAACATGCTTTGCACATATATTTTAGTGCGCATACTGTTACTAATAAAAAAAAAAAAAACTTTATGCTCACCCATTTGTGTCGGGGTCTTTTTTCTGTCTCATTTTGATAAGAATTTAGAGACTCGGCATCTTTGCTAGGGATTTTGAAAGAAACAGCTTTACAATGACGCCTAATGACAGACTAGATGAATTACAGGAGATTGATTTTTAATGTTAGAGAACAAACTGCAGGAAAACCTGGCTACTTTTTTTTTTTTAAATCAGATCCAAGCTGCAGGAAGACCTGAAGTTTAATCATGCAACACCGGGGAAGTCTTTCTGCCACCAAAGGGTCAAATAGAATCGACAAGCATACGTTTTCACAGATTGTTTGACAATGATTATGCTTTATCTATTAATAATAATCGGGGACTGCAGATGGCTTAAATCGAAATGCAAGCCTCTTCTGGAACTTTCATCTCTGCAGTCCATCCAAGAATGCGTTAGGTGTAATTACAATTTTTTAGAAAAAAAAATTTAATTGTAATTTCAAAGCAAATAAGTATCTCGCACGTAGAATGTCTTTACCCCTCCTAATGCACGCATCCGCTGTATAAAGTGCGACTGCTTGTAGAGCACTCTAGCCTCGTCTAAAGCAGCTCGGGGATTTCAACAGAGCTGGGCTCAGAAGCCAGTTGTTGGCGCTGTCCGTGGTGCTGAGGAATTCCCGGCTGCCGGCAGAATGAGCTCCAAATCAGCAATCTGCAAACTGCTCTTACTGATGCAGAAACCCAGCTAAAGTTGCTCCTTTCCTTCACGTCCACAGTTAGTATTTTCCGGTGTGTAACAGGGGATTCAAGCAACATACTGTGGACGATGGTGATGGTATTGCCAGCGGAGTGGGCTTTAAGCTACAGCATGCTGTTGCTGTTTGTGATCCTCCGAGCCTAGCCAAATCACCTCTACTGCCGTAGCAAACACTGTGTAAGTGAACTCATGTGTGGAGGAGGCGTAATCAGCCGGGAAATTTCATAGAAGGATCTAAGAAAATGCTAAAAATAAGTTCAACATGATTCTGCTACTGGGGTCTGGATTTCTACAGGACCAGCATTGCTTCTTGCTTTGAATTCTGAAGACAGGTCGAAAGCAAATTTCTTATGTGTTTCTGCTGTGTTTCTTTCTGGAAGGGCGGGAGACTGCTTCTTTACTGTGTTTTGAAATGGGAGGTAGAAAGAATGGATTGCCTTTAATTCATGCCTAAAAATGTATTCTTTGGGTAATTAAAGAGGAACTGCTTTCTTAAAACATAGCTGACCTTTTAGTTCATTTTGGGCTGTGACCCCTACCACCACCATTAACCTCCAGAGTGATTAGGTAAGTGTATCTTATGACATGAGTTATGTTTGTTTTCTCAAAGAAATAGATGCAGTCATTTTAAATCATATGTAGCAATATGGGGAGGGGGGAAAGTTAAGCTGAGAAGTGATTCTCAGTTTAGCAGTGTTTGCTTGCTTTATAAAAATCTTCAGATAAACATTATATTTGATTTATCCCATGTTTCTTCTGTTAAATAAATAGTATCTTAAATTGTACTAGGGCAGCTCAATTATGAAGGCTTTTTAAAAAAATAGCCTAAGAACTTTGTTATATTGAAAATAAAATCTTGTTTTTTTACCATGCAGATTTTAAGATATATTTCATATAATAAAAACATCTTTAATGTTTGTATAAAGTAGATATTACATTCCTATTTTTACCTCTAAGTTTACATTTACCATAACCTAACACATTAATGCCTACCTGTGGCTTACAAAGAGATCATTCTCTGTCTATGTCCCTTTGAAGCAGAATCATATGTGTATTTTATATGGCTTATCTTGCATGTGTTGACAGATATTGCTGGAATATTATAAGGAAGCACAGTAGCTTTCTTTTCCTCCAAGATAAACTTTCTAAATATGTGATGTATAAATGCTTGCTTTAATTAGTAAATTATATTTATGCTTTTTCAGAAGCTTCTGTTATGTTTGTTATCTCTGTAGTAATTTGAGAGAAAAAAATGCTTTGTCAAAGGGAGCTTCCAGATTCTCAAGTAGAATTATAGGTTTGCATTTTCTTGTTCTGTCATGACTCATTATTTTTGACATATTTTATAAGAAATCATCAGCTTTATTACCTACCCAAAGGGAATTCTAATATCAGAGGATATCAGAGGAATTCTAATATCAGCTTTCTCTGGAAAGAGGGCATACTACCTTCCATTTTACTATTATAGAATTTGCATGTCTACCTTAAAATGCAAATATAATAGTTTATGAAGTTTCCTAATGTCATCTTTATCTTAAGTTATCATCTGTATATGTTAGACTGAAAAGAGATGATTTATCATTGCTCTTAATATAATCTGAAAATAAACAAATGTATAACATTTATAGCTGACCTGAAAATGTCCTATATACAATCTTAGTGATATTGGCATTAAGCCAATAGCATTTAAATAAACAAATGAGCTATTTGACAATACTTTTTCTTATTTATTACTCCCTAAACTCACAGTTTCCCCAAAGCCTCTGTGTGAGTTAGTTATTCTAAATATTTAAATAAGAGCCCACTCCCAACACTTCACATCAAGCACCAATACTAAGTGGAGTTTACAAGAGTCAGTGTCACCAAATTAGTAAGGCATATTTTCTATGAATGGTTAACACTTAATTACTGTTTTAAGCAACTTCCATAAATAATTTTATGCTGGCATCTTTGTGCAGATTGCATACATGCAAATATTTCTGACATTTCAAGAGTTATCTTTTCAAGATCTCATAAACTGTATTTATATTATATTGAAATATTTAATTTAAACAAATTACATATATACTAGATTCAAGTTACTGTGAAATAAATTTATAGATAGATCTTTCCTGCCCACTAGGAGCTTACTTCCTGTGTAAAATAATGTGGACAATAATACAAATAAATTTGTTTTTAACAAATTATTTTAAGCACATGGAATTCTCTTGTATTATTATTTCAAATTTTCTTAACCACCATGGGATAGTTTTGTTGTTATCAACTATATTTCAAAAATCCAGATTCATGTTCACTGAAACAGGTAACTGATGTGGATACCACTGTTGTTCTTTAATTATAGGCATAAATAAGTAGGAAATCCTTTATAGCAGCTCCATCCTAAATATAATTTATATTCAACTGTTGGTTTATTCTCTTTCCTTTAGAATTAGATTTTTTCGCACTAATCTCTTGAGTTGACACAGATAATTATAACATATGTTCCATCACTGACTAGTCCAGTTTAAAGAATAATAGAAAATGTGAGTTCAAATATTCTTGAGCTATTTATAAGTGATTCCTTGTAATCACCTTTTGGGGCTCAGTAAAACCATTTCTTTGCAATTTAGACAAAGCCAGACCTTTGAAATTCAGAAGGAATATTCAAGCTGAAGGTTCGTATATAAAATAATCCAAAAGGACAAATTTTAATGCAAAGTATCAACTCTCCAAACCTCACAATATGGCATAGATAGTTGCATCAACTTAGTCTATTTGAGGCCTTAGTATCTTTAAATTGATCCCAAACAGTTTAAGAGCATGGGCTTAAATGAATCTATCTTCATTTTGTATATGTCAAATTATTCTTTTTAAATATTTATTTTCAGCCTACCCCTCTTGTATTCCCATGGAAGGAGCTGAGTGTATTTAATATTAGGAGTACATCCAGAAGTCTTTGAAGAGGGGGATGGCTCTTCATATTCATGAAGCTTGCATACTTCTGTTGGTCATCCCTGGATTGGTCACCTCTGCTGCTATCAGTCATGAAGACTATCCTGCTGATGAAGGTGACCAGATCTCCAGTAATGACAATCTGATCTTTGATGACTATCGAGGGAAAGGGTGTGTCGATGACAGCGGCTTTGTATACAAGTTGGGAGAACGATTTTTCCCCGGGCATTCCAACTGTCCGTGTGTCTGTGCTCTAGATGGACCTGTTTGCGACCAACCAGAATGCCCTAAAATTCACCCAAAGTGTACTAAAGTGGAACACAATGGATGCTGTCCTGAGTGCAAAGAAGTAAAAAACTTCTGTGAATATCACGGGAAAAATTACAAAATCTTGGAGGAATTTAAGGTATGCGTTACCCTCCATACTTATTGAATATCAACTTTTCATACCACGTGCTTAGTATATTGCTACATTAAATTCAGAGTTGAAAAAATGTACTTTTAAATTTCCCTTTAAATTACAGCAATTTGATTCTAATTACCATAAGTAGCACCATGGTCAACAAATGGCCAATTGATTTGTTGATCGTATTAAGTTTCACAATAACCTTTATTTGTTTCCCAGAAGTATCTGGGGCATACCTAACACCTTTTATTTTTGCCCTTAAACGTTTCTTCTCTGTTATTACAAAAATGTTTTCTGAGGGGAACAATTTTGTGTATAGTGTGTCTCCTAAATTTTTAAATTGTGTCAGTTGTGTGTGTGTGTGTTGCTTATTAGCCTATATTTGAAGTCATTTAACAATATAGTCTAGAATTATTTGTTTATTGTGTGGAAAAGCTGCAGAGATACACTTCTTAGCTGTGGTCCTCATATCAAGAAAATGCGTTGGGCCTACTTATTGTCAAGCAAGATTCCCGTTCTGTTCTCTGCTCGCTGGATTTTTTGCTTACAGGATTCCACAGAGAACTGAATTTTTATCACAATCCAGGTAAAGAGTAGTAAAAAAGACTGTAATTTTTTTCAGCCTACATGGTATTTTTTAGTTTTTCTTTTATGCTTGTGTCATATTTTCAAAGTAGCTTAGAGTTCATTTTTATCCCTTATTGGACTTTCTTTTCTCCAATGGGTAGTTTTAATTGGGATATCCTACAAGCGTGATCTGAACTCTGAAGGTATGAATACATGAAAAATGTCCACCTTAAGTGTAATGGCAGTTTGTGCCTGGAGTGTCTGTCATACTGGTGACTTTATACAAAATGTTCCCATTTCATCTAACCAAGTTCTGTGACAAGTGCTCAGAACCTTAGAGGTAAAAGTAGATACAGCTGGTTTTCAGTGTGGGTGTTTATGTATGAGAGAAGACATTTCCATTACTAACACTGACCCAACTTCTCTCACCACAAGAGTCAAATGGTGCCAGAAATCAGTATGTAGAAAAAAGGTCTCAACTGATCATCATTAGCGTAATCTGTGTATTCATAGTTAATTGTATTTGATTCATTATTAACCAGGAATGAACCAGGTTATGTGTTCAAGCCAGTTCTGATTTACCCAAGAATACCCAGTCATAGAAAAGAGTTCCTTAGGACAAAAGGGAAATTTTAATTATGACATTCGACTTTCTTAGATGTGTTATTCTCAACTTTTGTCTGTCGTGTATTATTTTATTGCACAAAATTAAGAAGTAAAAACATGAGAGTCTAGTAAAAGTATCATTGTTGACACCAAATAATAGTTGAGAGTATAGTACATTTATTAATGGTTTTATATCTCTAAAATATTGTATATACTTTGACATTACCTATTTTTAATTTCATCTTAATGGAAGTAAGTAGAAGTACTCAACACATTTGATTCTAGGCATGGTTCTATAGTCGTATCACCCTTTTCTAACATGCGTTTATATCTAGAGTAGAATACAAAAAGGTATTGTAGGAACAGCATTTCATAACTAGCACAAATAAAAATATAAGTTTCTGAGATTTATATAATTTGGTAATCCATATTTAATGAAGAAAAAAGATTGTCTAATTAACTATTAAAATGCTATAGTTTTCCCTCTATTTATTAGATTTCACTACAAAGGTATAGCTATGTTACCATGTCAAACAATATAGAGATATTTAAAGAAAAAGTTAATAATTTCTGTACCCCTTCTAGTTATAACCCTACTATAATCTAATTAATCCCTACTACTTCTTTCCTAATGTATGATCCATTAATATGCACAGCTTTTTCGCCTTGCTTTTTGTGTCATAAAATTTTTGATGTGATTTTTTAAATAATAGATATCACTTTTTTTAACAAGAAATTTGAGTCATAAAGAGCTTTAGAGACTATATAGGGCAAATATACAAGAATGAGAAACTGAGACCAGTTTTGGATAAATTACGTATCCAAAACTGTCAAGTTATTTACCTTAATTCTAAATGCTGCTATTCTAACAATACTATATGATCTCTCAAAGCACTTTGTCACTAAGGTCAGATAGACCTGGATTCGAATCCCGAATTCATCACTTGGATATAAATTTTTGAATGGAGTTCTTAAACTTTTTGATCCACAGTGGTATTGACTATAAAATAGCCATTGTAATAATCACTTCCCTTGAAAGGAGAGGTTGGAAATTCTTAATAACATATAATTTCTCTAAAGTCACTAACCTTGTGATGACGGGTACAAAATAGGTATTAAATAAATGGTTGTCCCCTCCTTCTTAACTCTAATATCCAGGGATTTACTCTAAATTCTAAATTCCTCTATGGCTTTGCCTACATTTTATAATGAAAGTTTAACTTTAAAAGACTTTCAAATGAAGAATTCTAATACCTTTTTAAAATGCTCTACTTATCCATATGAACCATATAACTCTAAGTAAATATTAGCCATAATCTGTCACCTTGATTCTCTTCCAACTCAGCTTGCAAGGAACAAGTCATTAATTATTAAAGATGCATAAAACTTTCATATAATAATGTTGATATGTTAATTAGAGAGGTTGTGTTATGAGATTTTACATTTAATATATTCATCCAACAAGCATTTATCAGACTGTTCAATAGATAAGATACTATAGACATACTTACATTTTAAAGTAGGATATCTAGAAACCAAAATCTCTGCTCACAAGAAAGACATGATCAATGTGAAGAGAGAAGGGGAAAAAGCAGGTAAAAAGTTAAGTATATTATTATAAAATCCCAATGTAACTCCCAAGAGATTGTGATGTCAGAAGCTTATCAACATAGTATGAGGCTAGGTTAAGCAAGAGACTTGTCTTCAGGATGCTCACCCTATACACCTTGTAGAGTTGCCTGTTCTTCCAGAAGTACTTGAAATTGATCTGGGGAGACAGAAACTCCAAGGAGGAACTGCTGGAGCAAATTCAGAGACTGGGATGAATACAATGTGCAAAGAGGAGGGAGATGAGTATAATTGGAAACTAGCTATGACTAAAATGCTATCCTAGTAAGAGGTAACTTCAGGTATGTGTCGGTGGACAGTGGATGGAAGGGCCTTGAATGCTGGGCCAAAATATTTAGATTCATCTGAAGAATAACAGGATATAAAGTGCAGATTGTTCTGCACATAGATGACCTAGTTATACATAAATAAAAACGAATGCCCTATATCCAAGCACAGAATTGAATAGAAGTAAAGGGAAATCAATAGTGGAGGAAGGAAGTCTGTTGCAGAAAAAAAGAGAATGAGGTGCATAAGGACAAAGACATTCAGGACAGTTTTCAGGGTAAAATCTAATTTCCCTACTGTAGCCTAGATTCTACTCATCAACCTCTCCAAATCCCTCAAACTCTTGGTGACTTTTCTTCCCTGTGTGTTTGCACTGCTGTTCCACAGTGTGGAACACTTTTTCAATGTTGCTCCCTGTTTAAATCCTACTGGACCACTTCGAGGCTCCATTTAAATCTCACCTCAACTGGAAACCCCTCTCTGTCTGTCCTACCTCTTATCTGCCACACTGTATCACTCCTTCCATATGTTCCCACGGCCTGCTGTACACACCATCATTACAAGAACAGTAGCTGTTGTCTGATACTGTGAAGAGCTTTATGTATATTATAACACATTTTATAATAACAGTGTGAGAATTATACTTTTATTAGCACTGTTTTACAGATAAGAAAACTGAAGCAGCAGAGTGTAAGTAACTTGTCCAAGACCATACAGCTGGAAAGAGGAAAAAGTAGGACTCCAAGCCAGGCAGCTTGGCTGCAGAATCTAAGCTCCTCACCACTTCTACTGTTCTATCCCACAGCAATAATGTAATACATCACACTGCAATAATATTAAATCATATGAAATATAATGTGAAATAATATCATGTGAAACCACTTGTCTCTTCCCTTAGTCATTGAACCCTTTGAGGCTAGGGACACTGTTTTCTTTTTTCTTTTCCCTTCTGTTCCCAACACCATATGAGCTACGTAACAGTCATTCAACACATTTTCTGATGAGTAGCATACCAGGTCAAATTGTAATCGAACTTACAGGATAAAGAACTTAGAATTTCTTTAGAATGCTTTAGTTTCTGTTTATGTGTTGATCTCTTCATTTTAATTAAAGAAGCACTGAAAGTTGAGATGAAAAATACTCTTTGGGCAGTTAAAATGGCACACATTGTTCTCTTATGATAAGAGTGCCTATTTTCATCCTGACTTTACTTTCTTCCTCGCTTGACCCCTTCCTCACCAAGGGTTGTCTTGGATTCTGTCTCCATCCCAGCATCGCAATGACTACCCAGTGTTTTAACTGTATTTTCTCACCCGGTGCAGTTGCAAATCATAGGTCACATTTCAATATTTTCTGATCACCAAATTCAAATGTAAATTGATCCACTTGTGTCACCTGATAGGAAAACTAATGTCATTTATAAAGGTTGTGGGGTTTTTATTTCATTTACTGATGCAAGCTTTGAAAATGAATTTCTCTCTACTGTTTTTGAAAACTCTAAATTCTCCGGTGTTCTGGTAATATTGTATTAAGATAAAGGTCACTGTATAGTAGGTTCTCTCATCTTTCTTTTATGTGCACCCGGGCGATATGACACTGGAACCTACTTTTTGAGAAATAAAGCATATCAATAATAAATTATAATAGCAGTTTCTATCAGAAAAAGTTCATTGGAAATGTAGGCTTAACTATCTTATGCTGAGTTTCTCAAAGGAAGAATTTATTTTGCTCAGTATTTTTATAACTCTGATTCTGCTAGAATTAGCCTTTTTGACTATTTCCTTATACTTTAGAACTTGTACTGATTTAGTTGTAGGTCATACAGTGAAGGTTATACTACATGCAGCTGAAAGAATTCTCTCAGCTTTTGCATAGCTTGTTTTATTTTAAAGTGATTTTCTGCAGTCAATTCCCAGTGTCCCTAATTTAGG